ATTATTCCATTCTTTTTCTTCTTCAGACAGCTACAACAATATGGGTAATATTTTTTCTCGTCATCGTCATCAACGATGCTCTCGTCATTATAAACGACAACAACAATTTCATGATTCATTAAAAGAACATCAACAACAACCAGACGATCTTAGCACTAACAATAATACACTTCAACAAAAACAGCAACAATCGTTCTGTCTTGATGAGTTACCACAAGAATTACTTATTTATCATATTTTCATTCAAATGACTTATCAAGATCTTTGTTCATTATCAAAAGTGTCAAAGCTATTTTATAAATTATCGAACAATAATTATTTATGGCTAAAACACCTTGAACACCATGATTTATTAGTGTATGAAAGTGAAACAGATAATGATAAGGAACTATTACTAACAAATTTAAAATTTAAATTTTTCTATCTAAAAACACAACGTGAAAAATATCCATGGTTATGGATTGAACATTCATGCCATGTAAAATCTAAAGACAGTGCTAAGAGTGAGCCACCCTTGTCATCAGACGAATCAACCTGTTTATTATTTTCAATTAAATGTTTACAATGTTCTCAGTTAACAACAACAGTGAGAGATGATTTTCATGATCAATATCATCATGGTCTAGTTAAAAGTATCAATCGTAAAAGTTTAACATTTTATGAAAACGATACAAATACTGTTTATCGTGGAGCAATTGATATTTCAGTTCAATGTTTAAAATGTCGACGGTCATGCCGTTGGTTAGATCAAAAAGAATGGGATAATTGTCCATTAAAACCATTATTATCATTATCACCAAAAACAAATAGTATTAATGTATTTGTTGGATAGCAGACGTTGTCACAGAATGTTGACATCATCACAGAATGGTTATGAAAATTTTTTCTAAGGCACCATCTCTCGTCATTATCGATCAAAACTTTTGTACTGCTTCCAAGAGTTTTTCCTCCTCGTACAGATCCAAAACATTGGATTTAAATTGAAAGATTGGAATTTAAATGGAAGTAAATACTTGTGAATAGTGTTAAACGATTTTCTCTGCTTTCTTTTTCAATTCTTGTTTTAGTCACTTTTAAAAATGAGCAGGACCAACGTAAAGTACAACTTACACGATTATAGTGCGTAGTTGGAACGGAAAATTGTGCAACATATCTATCAATATATTTTTGCGATTTGAGACTGTATAACTGCTCAACAATCGTGTGCGTTCAAAACAGGTTGTCCAAAAATACACAAGGTTACTGAGAAAATGTGTTTTATTACACGTTTATATAGGTAGAACTAGAAATTGAAATTTTAACACTATATCAGAAAGATAATCTAGTAGGCCAACACATTAAAAGAAAACGTATACCTCGACTGGGATTTTAGCCAAGGAAACTCTCATACGAGACCAGAAGATCTAACCACTGAGCTATCGAAATACAGTCAAACACTTATAAGTAATCCATTGATTAAACTTTTAGTTTTCCAAGGATCATGCAGTGTTCGAATCTGTATTCGTACAAAACTGATTTTGCGTTTTCCAATAGTTTTAGTTTAGAATAC